GTTTGTTTTGAAAGCCCTTGAGACACATCTTATAACAGGAATGTGCATCCACAGTTCTAAGTTGAAGTATATGGGAGAATTTCTTTCTTCAGAAACAGAAAAAAATAAAAGAAGAATCATTTTTTAAAAATCATTTCCCTATAAGCTTAAGTTTTGTTCCCTCAAAAAGATTTAATTAGGAACTAGGGACATAGATCAGTGGCAAACAACAATTTACAGCAATAGTGTGATCCTGCATTTGAACCCCATAACCACACACACACACACACACACACACACACACGGGAGAGAGAGACACACAAAGAGATAGAGAGAGAGAGAAAGATGAAGACAGAGACAAGGAGGACACTGAGAGCATAAAAGCTACAACTGTTTGGTTTTGAGACCTCTCCTTTGTCCTGTTTCTTGGTTTTCTCAGGTGCTGTCTCCTCCACTGTGCCGATGTAGTATCTTTCCCCTTGGTGTACCATTAGGGGAAAAACCTTATTTTCAAAAACAGCCATTGTTCTCCTCAGAAGCAGCCTGGATGTTCTGTCCCAATCTGAAACACTTGGTGGGGAGGGGGGCTGAGAGAGTCCAGTTTCAGATTCAGGGGCTGCTTCTGAAGGACAGTGCATTCACTGGCTTCCTCAGGCTCTTTGCTGAAATTTGCTGAAAACTGTAATTGTTCCTTTGTTTAAATAATGGGAAGATTGCTATAATTTATATAGAAAAGTTAAACCATGACAACAAAAGGGGCACCTCAATGACTAAGGGCATAAACTAACCCCAAAGCAAACAAACTGATAGCTCCCCAACCACAAAGCACTTAATACAGAACTCCTTTGACAGCTTTATTGGATTTTCCTACAAAGATCACAACAGTTACACTTGCAATTATCTGTTGAAATTAATTCAGAGCGCTCCACACTTAGAAGCTGGCTGAGTGAGCCAGCCCTGTGCTTTTCTTTTGTTATCCCAACTTGTTTTACCATCACCCTTGTTTGCATTGCTGCTTTCTGTTTATTTTTGCTTTTCTTTTTCTTCTTCAAGATTTCAAATGCACTGCATTATCATATTTTGATATTCCAGTCCCAAAACTCTGAGGAAGATTCTAGTGACCATGGCACACCAGTACAAGGATGTTGCTGAGGAGGCAAAGGAATTTCTCAGATAAGTGCTTAAGCCTTTTTTTTTTTTTTTTTTTTTTTTTTTTTTGGTGCTTTTTCAAGGCAAGGTGTAGTGCCCTTTCACTGAAAGTACAAGGAAAGAGGTCTTGACCTCACAAGACTGTCCTAAATTTTAGGCTCTGTCAGTTACTAAGGACCTCACCAAAGCAGTGGCCTGAGGAACAGAATGAGCTGGCAAAGGGACAGAGAAGGAACATTTACCCTATCATAGTAGCTCTTTGTCTTTCAGAATTTGGATTGGATGTCTGGTGTACTAGTCACTAACCATGAACATCCGACTTTCTCAAAGACAGAATGGGAGTATACAAAAGCGTTTTAGACTCTCAACATGTTCAGAATGGTAAACTGTTTATATATATATATATATATATATATATATATATATATATATATATAATGTTTTTACAAGAGATTTCTGGGCTAGTATGAACTACCTAATGCCTCATGTAGAAAGTGTCTGATCATCAGTGACCTGGGCATTCAATCCTACTCAAATGATTCCTTAATGTGCCATCAGTGGACTTCCCAAAAGATGTGTGAAAAGATACATCGTATTGCTCAGGGGGCTTTAAAATGTTTGTGTTCAAGACTTACAGTAAAAGAAACAGGAGTTCTCATTTTTTCCATTTTCACTTACAACTTCCCAAAACTGCAGAACTGAAACAATTAGCTGCCTCCTGTTCGTCGTCACCCATCGCCTGGGCGTCTTCAATCTTCTGGCTATGCCACAACTGTTTTCTTGTGTGCTATAGCCCTAAATGAGGCTCAGTACTGTACAGAAGGACGGAAATCTGAAGGCGCCTTAGAATAACATTTCAGGGCTTCACTAAGGCTTGATCTGTTTCTTTTTAGCCCTGTCCTAGAAACAGCAAGGCTGCCACACATTTAAGGTGGGGTGGGGGTGGGGGATAACATCTAAATTCCTCTTGTATCTCAGAAATCTAAATTAAAACATTGAGGAAGCAGTTACTAGGTTGTTCTGACAAAGATAACAAGGCTGCGAGGATTGGATTTGGAAATGAGCATTGCAGGGCTCTCTCTGTTGTATCCAATCTGGAATGTCACACCCAGACATACAAGTAGTTAGGAGGGACTTAAATAGCCAGACCCCATAAAAGACAAAGAAAAAAAAAGTAGCATTGCACATAATTACGGGCTGAAGGACTTGGTACCATTATTGTAGAATGCTGTACCATTTTGTTTCAATTAAGGAACACAAATAAATCACAATTAAAAAAATAGTTCAATAGGTTTGGAATCACTCTATATAGTCATAGCGAAGCTACCACACTGTTTAAATCGTCTGTGGAGAACCATCATTCTGTAATGACTAACAGAGAAAGGGGGCCAGGGGCCTCTTTCCCCATGTTTGAGAAGCACTTAAGAGTTTTATTCTCCCTAGATCCATGCACTGGTTAGAAGGACAGGGTGGAAGGGACAGGAGGATCTCAGGGTCTCAGACAGACACCCAGCAGATAACGGGAGACTAGTTACATGGAGCCCTTCCCCTTGCTACTCTGGAGGCAGGGGAAAAGATAAGAAAGTCTCAGTCCCAGTGTCCTTGTGGCTGTGGTCCAGCTCCTATCTGACCTTGAGGCCTGGGCTCCACAATCTGAACTGGGGAGAGAGTCTGCCAGGAAGCTGCCACCCTTGGTACAGCTGGGGCATAGCAGGTTAGGCTGTGCACAGAGCCTGTGGGAATCAGGAAATCTCTTGGCTTTTAGAAGAGTTGGGGTCCCTCCTAGAAGCCCTCCCATCGTACCCAGAGCCTACATACCACCTTCTGAGGCTTCCATTACATCGATGTCATTTTTGTTGTGACAAAGTCTGGCGTGCTGGTCTGTTTTTACAGATCGTTTTTTTTCCCCTATTCTTTCTCCCTTTATTCAGCTATATTGAGTGGGTGAACACATTCCCAGGAAACAGCTCCCTGATAACTCAGGAGCCTTTGAGTCTGCGGCGCACTTCTCTGGTTTTCCTTAACAAAGAACCGAGTGTTGGGATTGCAAATAAAATAAGCCTTTTTTTCCCCTCCTTTAGTCAGATAATTTCCTATATTTCTACCTCTTTGATGTCTTGTTTCCTCATTCTTTTTTAAAGGTGCTCTACTCCCCACGTTCCTTCCTTCTATTGTGACTGTAGACACTTCACATGAGATCCTCCTTGTTCACTTTTCTCTCCACCTTCCCATGCTGGGGATTGAAAATCCCACAGATTTGTTTTACTACTGTGGGCATGAAAACCAGCACGTTGGCATTTTGAACAGAGCAGAGATTAAGGTATTGGCAGCCTTGAAATAGCTCTTTCTCAACTTCCATTCCCATGAGGTTATCCACATAGAGCCGTTGTTAGCACAGGGGCAGTGTGATGAAATGTATTTGTTGAGTCTCTTTGGTGCCAAAGCTTCAGTCAACTATCTGATCTACCTGATAGTGGTACTATTTCAGAAACATCCAGTCAGGAGAGCAATATCAGTCCTGTGGATTATCAAGCATGGCATGATGAAAACTACAGCTAGTAAGACCTTCACAGTTTTCCCTCCTCTCTACCCTGCCTTAGAAACCCTATGCAAGAACGGAGTGGTAATCAGAGTTTACCTATCAAGGACTGTTGCTTTAGAAACATATTCCCTTTGGATGGGGGATTCAAACATCATGAAAGCTATTTCCATTTTTTTTTTTTAACAGTGAGGCTGGAAAGAGTTACACACACAGAGAAAGGCAGTGATTACATATGAGATAATATATTTTAAAAGTTCTGTTTTTCTTCTAGTCCCCTACTTCAGACTTACCTATTTAAATACACCAGGATAAACAAATATTTGTCTAAATTACTTGACTCATAACACCGCCAGACTAGCTCATATTACACACCAACCTTTTTAGGTTAAACTTTCTTACCTAAGATGGTCTTGCATTGAGGCAACAAATTTGGAAGGCAGATTTAAAAGCTGATAAAGACACCTCTTGGCCCTCCAGGTTAGAACAAAGGACAGCGTACAATTGAACAATGGTCATTATGGGTGTAGGAATGGTGGGGGAATAAATGTAGCAGGGGAGACACTAGAGAGGATCAGTAGGGACTAGGCCTTGCCACATGGTTGCATCTCTGCCTAGTTAGGACCATGTGTAAATACAAATTCTTCCACAAATTCAGAAGCTGGTGGACAAGATGTTCTTATACAACTTTTCTTCCTGCTTTAAACAGAAAAGCAGCCCTAAAACAAACCACCAAGGTGTCTGCGGTGTGGGGCAGGAAAATTTACTAGCTTTGGTGATGACACCCACTTATAGTAAGTGGGATATTGGAGGCAACAAATTTCAAAGCTCAGAATTACCCTCGTCTGGTGATCCCAGGGTAGTTTCCCAATGGCTGGGCCTGTCAGCCCATTTCCAGCCTGGTGAAAATGGGGGAAAGATCAGTGTTGCCACAGGGACAGTAAGACAAACGGTGGTGGAACATAGCGGAGGCCACGCAGATGACTCAGGCGTGCGAGCTCCGCTCTCCCGACAGTTCTAAGAAGGGAACATCATAATAATAGCAATGTCCATGGAGCATATTAATTAGTTAGGCATGGCTGAGAGTGTCACCTGTTGCCAACCCAACCATTAAGGGGCTCAGATACCATGCGCTTAGGTCCGTGCACTTGCAAGCCGAAACTTGTAACATCCCAAATGCACAAAGCCAGGACTATATCTCTTATCTCAAGAGCCTTTTGGGGAACGATGGAATCAGAGGACTTCCTGGAATTTAGCATTTTGTAATCATGAGTCAAAGAACTAATCGATATACAACAACCTGAAGACAAACTTGAACTAGGTGTATGTGCCATCACCACATGCTGTGTGATCTGACAGAGGAAAAAGAACCCAGGTAAGTGGGTACAACTTTATTTCTCTGGTGACTTGTGCTGAAAGGAGAAGTAATTCACATACTTAGCAGCAATATTTTTCTTAAAGTTCAGGTTACTTAGTTTTATTTTCACCACAATGTTATAAATTAGAATTATATTTAGACCTTACAGACGGATTATTTTGGATTTGAAATTTTTTTATTGAATTATCCATAAAACAAGAAGTTACTGAAAATTTACAATTGTTCATAGTCAATTAAAGATATAGGATGAAAGCAAACATATTAACATCTTCTCCTTTAGTGTACTCCAATCAGCAAAGAGAAAAGCTGACCCTATACCCACATTGATAACTGCTCAGTTACACAGAGAGCAGATTCTCTGAGGAAAGAATCACATTCCCAGGACAGCAGGAAGCAGATAGACAGTATGTCCCATACTGAATTAGGTGAGAGCTGCCTGGACAGTCATCTGGAGAGACTGCCCCATATTTGAGATCTTGAACTAGAATAAAAGAAAAAGAAAGAAAGAAAGAAAGAAAGAAAGAAAGAAAGAAAGAAAGAAAGAAAGAAAGAAAGAAAGAAAGAAAGAAAGAAAGAATATTCTGACTGTGGTAAGCTCTGTGTGTGAGTTCCCACTAGTTTATGGTTCCAGGCAGAAAACAACAGCAGGTGCAAACTCTTTCACTCTGGGGTAGCTTGAATTTAGAAGCCAACAGGCCTGGGGATGAACCTGACATGGTTGTAGCTTCTACCCTCCACAATACATCCCTCATCTGTATCCACATTCCCTAATAGCATAGCAGACAAAGTAAAGTGGCTAGGAACTGAGGCTCTACTACTTGCATGCTCATTCACTGAGTCTATGGAGTTGAATGGATGATCTTACATTTAAAAGCCTCATTTACACTGCGTAAGAACACTTTTATGTTGGGGTAGAGATACTGGTGCTTAGTGAAGGCTCAGCATAATGCCTGGCTGAAGGACAAGGTGTTTGTCCCCACTGTGTGTGCCAATGGCAGTGAACACATCTTAATGGATGATGTTGGCTGGCATCTCACAGGCTGCTGCCCTGCCAGGTTTTTGGCTGATTAGACTCTAAAGCTGAATCTTCTCTTTAGGTCAGGGAGATTCATATTTGTTAAATTAAACACTCAAGAAACAAGAAATGTGTATACTTGTTATCACCAGAACTTTCTTCACATGAGGACATCAGAGAGCTTGATGGAATTTAGAAACTGTGTAATAATTGATCAATGAATCAGTACAAGAGGAATGCGAGCTAACTCAGCATGCATTCCAAGGTGTTCCTGCTTTCAGTGAGAATAAACACTCACCACCATCACCACCACCATGCATGCACCATGAAAGATGATGGGACAGGAAACATTTAAGAAATTTTCAAGCAAAATCCTCTCTGTTTATTTCTTTATTTACTTATTGTATTTTTTTCTTGGTGTTATAAGTGTAGGAAAACTGCCCCCACCTGACAAACAGGTTATTTTTCAATCACCAAAATGTATGAAAAAATTCTAGAAAAGAAAGTCTACTCCCTGGAGGTGAGTTCTTAGAAATTAGCAAGCCTACAAAGATGGGCAAAGGAAGTAGAAAAGAACATACATGGCCCGAGAATCAGAAAAGGCTGGCTTTAAGTCTCAATTTCACTAGTCACTAGCCGTCCATTTGTTAGCAAACTATCTAAGGAACTTGAGGCTCTTTCTTTATAGTTCTGAAGAGACCATCCATTTGATAAATGAGAGAATTTAATGATAACCACAACCCTCAAGTCCTCACTTAAGTGCCAGCCTCTGATAACCCCATGGGCACCAGACAAACCACAAAGCTCTCTGTGTTTCATTTCTGTGCATTCCGCGCCCAAATGGCTTGCTGCTGTTGTTACCATTGTTGCAGTGAATTTCCAGTGCCTGGAAGGAAAGCAAAAGACAGGCACACCCAAAAATCAAAGGTTGTGAAACAAGCTAATAAAACCAGTGTTATAGGAGGTATTTGGAGGGTGGAAATGGGGATACTGTTCAAAGAACAAGAAGTCAAGCTGAATTCAAGAGCCACCCTGCCATCCTAAGTCCCAAAATGTCCATTCAAACTCAAGACCTCTCAAGATTTCTAGAAAACAGAGTAGTTATTCCTGAAAGTTGAACTGGGAGAGTGTAGGGGTAAGGGGCCACTGCTGTGTAGTAGGTGAAAATAAAACTGTATCCTATTAAGATAAAAACTCTCATCTTCTATGCGATAAGGAAGGGAGAACTTAGAACAGACCTCTGCCCACATCATTATCTTTTTATAGCCACATAGGACAGGGCCTTGTCATACAACTATGTGCGGCAGACAGTCTGCACATAGTCGAGAGGTTAGAGCAGATGTTCATTTTAAGACTGGAAGCAGTGTCCCCTGTGATCTGAGTTTATTAGTGAAAATTCTTACCATCATCACTATAGCTATAATCTTCATGATGATCACCATCGCTTTTAAGGATAATTGATTTGGATCTATATAAAATATGTTACATTCTATATTTCTTAATGTCGTGAGCTTAATGTTTGATATCTATGTAATATGTGTCTAAGGGCAATGTGGAAAATACATTCATACACTGTTGTCTGTAAAACAATGTAAAATTATGATCAAGAAATATAACTCATACTTCACTTCTTTTCCTGCCATCACGCGTTTCATCAGTACCATGTTAATTCACAGCTTCTTTTATTGTAATGTCACCAACAGTTCTGCCTTGTGAGGCAGATTAAAATGGGAGTCACAGGTTCCACAGGTTTATAATCCCGGTAATAGTTGACAACTTTCCTTCAAAGGTAGCTACTCCAGTTAGCTGTTCTATCTGCTACCTGCGGTGTATTTCACTGATGTCAGCTGGCATTCATTCTAAACTGGTCAGAGAGTGCTTTGGTGTTTTGAATGAAAATGTCTCCCATAGGCTCATGTATTTGAATACTTGGTCCCCTGTTGGTTGGTAGCTCTGTTTGGGGAGGTTGAGGCAGTATGGTCTTCTATGTTTCTTGCTCTAGCTTCCCTGCCTGCTGCTCCTGTCACTCAAACCCTCTGGAACCACAAGCTTAAATAAACTCTTCTATATGTGCTTTGGGGGAATTCTGTGGTCATCTAACAAAACCGAAAGTGCCTATAACATCCCAACTCCTAAACAAATGACATAAAGAGATTCTCAAATATGAACACGAGCATATATGTACAATGATGTTTGTGAATCAGGCCTTAAAATAATGCCTGTGTGGGAATGGAAAGATGAAATAGGATGTGTCAATACAGAATAGTAGAACTGCAGATTAAAGAAAGCCAGAAAAGCTCATGGTGTGCAGTGAAGACATAGTAGCCAAACGATGCACACATCACTGGTGGGAGAATAATGGGGTTTTTAAAAATAATAAAATATTATAAATTATGTGAATACTTCTTCCTTTCTGATTTGCATTTCCTTGATCTCCTTCAATTATCTTATTGCTCTAGCAAGGACTTCCAGAACTATGTTGAAGAGATATGGAGAGAGTGGGCAGCCTTGCCTTGTCCCTGATTTCAGTAAGATTGCTTTAAGTTTCTCTCCGTTCAGTTTGATGTTGGCTATAGGCTTGCTGTATATCGCCTTTACTATGTTTAGATATGTGCCTTGTATCCCCGATCACTCCAAGACTTTAAACATGAATGGATGTTGGATTTTGTCAAATGCTTTTTCAGCATCTAAAGAGATTATCATGTTTTTTTTTTTTCTTTCAGTTTGTTAATATGGTGGATCACATGGATGGATTTCCGTATATTGAGCTATCCCTGCACACCTGGGATGAAGCCTACTTGGTCATAGTGGATGATATCTTTGATGTGATCTTGTATTCGGTTTGCAAGTATTTTGTTGAGTATTTTTGTATCAATGTTCATAAGGGAGATTGGCCTGAAATTCTCTTTCTTTGTTGGGTCTTTGTGAGGTTTAGGTACCAAGGTGACTGTGGCTTCATAGAATGAGTTTGGTAATGTTCCATCTGTTTCTATTTTGTGGAATAGTTTGAAGAGAATTGGAGTTAGCTCTTCTTTGAAGGTCTGGTAGAATTCTGCACTAAAAACCATCTGGCCCTGGGCTTTTTTTCAGATGGGAGACTTTCGATGACCACTTCTATTTCCTTAGGGGATATAGGACTATTCAATTGATTTACCTGGTCTTGACTCAGCTTTGGTAAGTGTAATTAATAAAAATAAAAGTGTAATTAATAAAAAATTTAAAAAAAATGTGAAACAAAAATTATGTGATTACTATTACAAAGACTGGAGTTCCAGATCTGGAAGCCATGGCAGTACTTCCCCACCAGACAAGATGCCAGCTATGGCCAAGGTTCAAGGGAGCAGGTTCACAGGGATGGCTAGGTGAATTAGTATTACTATTCTTAGCCTGTGCCTTTAGAAACAGACAAAACATGGACAGTTTTTAAGTTGGGTGTGTTGACATTAGTACATGTTGTTTTGTCTCTTTATATTTCCTATTCTAAAATATTTATTAAAGAGAGGTATCAATGAGATCTTGCGTTTCAGTTGAGCTAAATACTGATTATTGTAACACAGCCTATTCAAAATTTTCCTTTTCACAGCCTTACTTCTAACTTCCCCTTCCTCCCTCTCCCTTCTTTCTTCCTTCCTTCCTTGTTTCTTTCTGCTCTATGTTTAAAAGATCATTAGAATTTCAAAGAACAAATTAAATAGCCTACTCTAAGATATTGTAGAATCCAATTACTCATTTTTTTTCTTTTCTCTCTTCCTATTGATCATTGTTCTTTATAGTAAAACACTAGTAAAGTGGGTTTCTTATGAAGCATTAAAGAGCCTGGTGAATAGGAACAAGAGACATGCACATCTTGGGTCAAAAACTGATGTCATTCTACATTAGTTTTTAAGGAATGAAAAACCCCATGACTTCTTTGTGCAATGAAAATGGGAAATATAGAATATTCTACTTTATAATTTGTTTCTGGAATCCCTAAAGATGGCAACGGTCACAGAATATAAATTAATAGTCAGAACCAGGGAGAGAACCCAGATGCTATGGCTATGTTTTAAATGTCTTTCAAGAGCTTGGTAAAGTCTTGGTGCTGAGGATGTGTCAACTGAGAGGAACCTGCAAAAGGTGGAGCCTATAGAAACTTCCTTAGATGACTGGAGACATGCTCTTGAAGGGGATTGTGGAATTCTATCTCTGCCTTACTTCCTGGCTGTGAGGGCTGTTTTGCTCTACCACATGGATGCTTATACCATGATGTGTTGTCTTGACATAGGCCCAAAGCAATGGACCCAATTAATCATGGACCATAAAATTGGACCAAAATAAGCCCTTTTCCTTCATAAGTTGATTATATCAGGTAATTTGTTATAGCAATAGAAAGCCAAGTAGCACAGCAGCTGTGCCTGATCTAAACAACAGTTCTTAGCTTGTACCAGACAAAGTAGGAACCATCCCCTTGTCCACATCAAAGGCACACATCCTACATCCTATATCCGCACTTCTGAGGTAGTTCTGGGAAGCATTTGAGAGAGAAGGCTATCTTTTCTTTATCCCAAGAGCTCCTCTTTCCCACTTTCTCTTAAGAGTTTGCAACCAAGGGAACAAGGAGTGACAATTTTGTTAGTTTTGTTTTGCTTTGTTTTGTTTTCCTGTTCCTAACCCAAGGGATTTGGGCAAACTTATGTTGCTGTTCTCTGAAAAACCACAAGGAATACCAAAATAAGTCTGGATCAGGGCATCTCACCCTGGCTCCCCATGCTCCTTCCTCCGTACAGCCAGGCAGTCTCTAGTCTCTAGGGCTGCAGGAAGGTATGGCTATGCCCAGGCCTGGTCTTTGCTCCAAGCCAAGGAGTAACCAGCAGCAGCTGCCAGGCCCCTTGGGAAAGGGCAGGGCTGCAGATGCTCAGATCTCGCAGCTGCACAGTGGGGTAAGAGGGACCCCACCCAGCCAGGCTGGAGGCCTACTTAGCACTGAGTAGTGCTAAGTACTTTCCTAGCTGCAAAGTACCCTGTGTGGCTGACAAAGATGAGTGGCAAGACAAGCAGTTTCTGGAAGGAATGCAGGACAAGATGCTCTGTCCTTCTGAGGATGTTATCATTCTGTGTACACCCTGGCTCCTCTTTGGGAGAAAGCTGTCCTGTGAGAACCTCTTAGATTCAGGAGCTTCAGCACAGGTGCTGATACAGGACTTGAGGCCTGAGACAGCTATACAAAGCTTCACTTGCTGTGGCTATGATGCCCCTGCTCTTCTTATTTACAACCATATTCATGATGCTGGTTCTTTGCTGCACCCTTCTAGGGGTGGGGTCTCATTTTCTCAGCCTAGCATAATGATTCACAGCGTATGTAAGGGAAGCAGAATTTGGGATGAATCAACATCAATTAAGTTCATTCTAAGCAGATGTTGTTACATGTACAGTAAACTTCAACTGCAATTGGAGGACAGATACACTATATCATTGAAAGAAAATTAAACTTATATTCCTTTATTGACAATGGAAAGTAGGGCTTTACAGGACCAGAAGGACCAAAGATCATAGATAACTCCTTACTCTGAAATGAAATACTTCCTTCTGTTGGATGGAAGAAGATTCTTGAGGTTCAGGAGTTCCACATAAATTTTGCAAGATTCTGAACACCTCTCTGAGATTACAAAAGCAGTGAATGAGGCCAGAAAAGGCAGAGTCTCTTCAGTGCGTATGCTCACAGACTGTGCTGGGAACACCAGGGCTGCAGCTCTCATGAGTACCCCCTGTGTCTGGGTGGTATTTTTTTTAAAGATGTGATACCTCACCATGCCCTTACAAACAATCCCTGTAAACTCTTTAGTTCACTAAGCTAGACTCTAGTAAGACTTTTTTTTTTGTCAACTGTTGATGTTCCATCTGGGATGAATAGATTTTTTTGGTCCTCGGGAGAAGTAGCATAAAGCGTGATTATAGAGAAGAAGTATGTGCTTGGTAATCATTGTAGAAATGAAAGTTAAGCTCACACTGTCATATAATTTCATACCTATGATGCTACTCATCATTAAAAATAAAAAAATAAATGACAGGAGCTGGTAAAAACGAGGAGGAAGCAGACCATTACACCCCATTGTAAAGGGAAAAAATTGAGGTATCCTGTGTGGAAAACAGTATGTTGGTAGAAGAACCATATGCTCTGGCAATCCCTCTTTTGAGCATTTATCATTTGTTGAGACTGAGATTTCAGAGAGATGTCAAGCTTTATTCATTGCAGTTTTGTTCACAAAACCCAAGATACTTCAACAACTTCAATACCCATTGGTGGATCAATAGATGAAGGAAAATATCATATATAATGGAGTATACTCAGCATTAAAAAAAAGGGAATATACCATATTTAATATAGATAAATCTGGAAGACATTACCGTAAATGAAATAAACCAGGGGCATAACAGCAAAGCTGTATGACTGTTGTGATGGTTTGAATAAAAATGACCTCCATAGGCTCATAGGGAGAGGCACTATCAAGAAGTATGGCTTTGTTGGAGAAAGTCTGTCACTTCCTCCAGGCTTTGAGGTTTCAAATGCTCAAGCCAGGTCCAGTGTCAGTCTCTCTTCCTGCTATCCAATCTAGATGAAGAACACTCAGCTCCTTCTCCAGCACCAAGTCTGCATGTATGCCATCATACTTCCTTCCATGAAGAGAATGGACTAAACCCCTGAACTGTAAGCCAGACCCAATAAAATGTTTTCCTTTATAGGAGCTGTCATGGTCTTGGTGTCTCTTTACAGCAATAGAAACCCCAACTAGAACAATCGTACTCAAAGGAAGCATCTAAAACTGGCAGATTCATAGAAGCAGACAGAATGGTAGCAGCTAAAGACTTGGAGAAAATGGTGAGTTGCTGTTCAGAGTATAAAGTGTCAGCTTCAGAAGATGGAATAGACCCTGGAGAGTTGCTGTTTCACATCATGCGCTTGGGAACAAGACTTTTGGGACTCCAAGGAAATGATCGTTACCTCAATTCATTCTTGACTCTGAAGAAAGTATGATGAATTCATTAGCTTACTTAAACAGTGTTTATAGAGATTAATATGCTCTTTACACTGTACAAATACAGTAGAACTGGTTTTCTGAAAGATTACATAAGCAGATATTTAAGGAGGTAATCAATGAGGCTACCAATGCACTGAAGGGACCTCACTCTAACTAAAAGAACAAACAGCCATGAAGAATCAATCTGTAGTGGAGATGTATTAGGAACATGTGTGAATAATCAATGAGAAACCTACAGAAATGAATGGGGAAGGGGGAGTTCCACTGGGCTGGGGAAGCAGCCAGGCTTAAAGCTGTCATGACAAAGTATCATTTGTCTGTAACAAGACGAAAATGAGATTCTGATGAGTATGGGTGTATACTTAGTATATACTTTAATATGATACATGGAGGCAGTAGTCAGTTATGAACTCATGATCCATCAAATGCATAAGTCATTTATTTATTCTGTAACTATGTATCAGACACTTTCTGTATGCACAACCACTAGGTATATAATAAAGGCACCAATCAAATCATTTCTATGTGTCTATTTTTTAATCTATCATATGGACTTGACTTTGTAGTCCCTTTTAGCTATCACATTTTTGTCCAGGAGAAAGCTGACATCAGCATTGGTCATCTGTGTCTAAGAGCTGTTTATTTGAGCATTGTCCCACCAATAAAAATGTAAAAAGCAGCTTGTGGTTTAGTAAGACATACCCCATCAAATGCACCATCAAATACTAAGGTTGCAGTTTGTGACAGAGAATCAACTTGACACATTTGGGAAAAGGGAAGCTCAAGTGTGGAATTCTTTTTATTAGATTGGCCTGTGGGAATAATTGAGGACTTCATTTCTGATTGACACAGGGGAACACAGCCCATTGTGAGAAATGCCATTCCTGGGCAGGTGACCCTGGGCTACATAAGAAAGGTATCTGCACAAGAAAGAAGTAAGCCAGTAATATGTGTTCCCACATGGTATCTCTTTTAGTTCCTGCCTCCAAGTTCCTGCCTCTAGCTCATGCTCTGGTTTCCCTCAGTGATGGACTGTAACCTGCAAGCCCAAGAATTTTTTTTCATCATGGTGTTTATCACAGCAACTCAAAAGCAGGACACTTGCAAAGACTATTTTAAAACATGAATACTTTTACTATTGTAGCAGAATTCTGAGCTTTGAGAAAATGAGAATAGAATATATGTAAAGACAGGGAGGCTTGTCCAATTTCAACTGAAGATAAATATTTTCAGTTCCAGGAGGTCTCTGTTGATTTGGGGACTGTACATACACTAAGTTACCATGTTGTAGGGCATCCTTCTAATATGGCAGGGTTTAGACAATTTGGTTGACCCCAAACTTATTTTAATGGCACTATTCTTTTATCAAAGATATTTTTAAATGAATGGCATACAGAAACAGAAGGAGGAGAAGGAAGAAGAGGACGAGTCATTGTATCAGGAAAGTAGGTGGCTAAAAGCAATTTGCAGAAACGGTGGCTAGTATTCAACTCTTCGTAGCACCCCCACCCCCAATGTGACTTAAAAAACACCCCTTTATTTGTCTAGGTACTCAATTCCTCTTTGCAATGAAGCAATGACACGGCTTTCTTCATTATTATTATGAGAGATATATAAAAGTGTATACATTGGACCCTTGGACAGCATTTGTTGTATAGTAAAATCATTTATGTGGCAGTAGAATAAGGGTGGAGAAAGAGGTATCGAGATTAACACATGAAAGTTCTCAGAGGAAAACTGGAAACTCTCCCGACATGGCTACGCACGGTAGGTAGAGAGCTCATGACAAAGAAGCTGCAAGATCCCCTAGAGAAACAAACACTAAGTAATGAGTCAACGGCCCATGAAGGGTCATAAACCCTCTGGTGGGGCCACTTTCCAGCTTCCTAGCTCACTGTCATATCTGGGAGTGCTTTTTCATTTTCTTAATAAATTACCTCTATTTCAGTCACTTTCTATGTGTCCTTGGTCCAATTCAGTGCTTCATATCCAAAGAATCTAAAAATCTCTGCAAGTGTGCTCCACATTTAAACCTGCACCTCTAACATTTAGATGTAAGACACTAGGATATACCATCAGGTACGATGTTAGAGAAAAAAAATGGAGATCTTCCAAGCTTAGCACCGCAGCAACACTAAGGCTCACATACTTCTGGCTCCATTCTCTTAAATCAGTCAGGAGAAACAATACCTTGTCAATTCAGTGGGCACAGTTCCAACTCTGGTTTCAAACCTGTAAGGCCATCAAGTTATCACCTAAGAATCTATCAGGAGGCACATGTTATTTAAAAGAATATCCCATGGTTCTCTGACACAAATACCTGTTTGGTCAATACTCTACTAGTCTGTCTACTTCTTTTGGGAACAATCACTATAGCAAGATGGCAAAATTGAAGTACATACCAGAGAAGACCAACCTTTTCTTTGCATGGAGGTGATTTTCATGTAAAGAGGTAAGCTTGGGATCTATTTCATTCCATGTATGTCTTAGGTAACTCTCTCTAATTATAGCATTAGAATGCCAATGTAGATTTACAATGCAAGTATCCCAACAAGTGTTTTCATCTTCAAAGTCTTGAGGTCAGCATCTATTCTCTCCATGGTCTTGAGTTCCCCAGGAAACATAGAAAGGATCAAAAGGAGAGGCAAAGAAAACTTAATTTGAATAGAATATTTGAAAGCGTCAAGCAATCATTATCAGCACAGAGTTGGACTTTTCAAAGACACAGCATGTCTCCAATGCTTGCAATACTCTGCACCTACCCTTTGTGAGGATAGTGTCTTAGGTTTCTATTGCTGGGATGAAACATCAAGACCAAAACCAACTTGGGAAGGAAATGGTTTGTTTTTTTTCATTTTCATGTAACAGTTCATTATCAAAAGCAGTGAGAGAAGGAACTCAAACGGCGCAGAAATCTAGAGGCAGGAGTTGATGCAGAGGCCATGGAGGAGAGCTTTTTACTGGATGGCTCCCCATGACTTGCTCAGTGTGTTTTCTTATAGAACCCTGGACCACCAGCCCAAAAGTGGCCCCACCCACAATGGGGTAGGCCCTCCCAAATTAATCACTAATTAGGAAAATGTCCCTAAGCCTTGCCCAATTTTATAGAGACATTTTCTCAACTGGAGCTCCTTCTTCTCTGATGATCCTAGCATGTGTCAAGTTGACATAAAACTAATCTTACCATTGGGAACATAAATTCAATGACTTTTGATCACCATTTACTCTGTGCTAATTTCTCTAGACAGCACTGACTAGGATTCCCAGTGTCTCATCTGTTGTTGGTGGTGATGATGATGATCTTTCTCACAGTGCTCTATTAACCTGTTTTATTTTTCCCAGCTGTATAGAGGTATAATTGACACAGAATTACTTATATTTGGGGCACACATATACTGAGTGATAGGAAGCTAATTAAGTAACATTTATGACTTCACATACTTAACCTGTATCTGAGGCTGTGTGGTGAAAATGCTTAAGTTCTCCTGTTGATGTACAGTAATTATTACTGTTTTCTTTCTGTGCTTTCTCTATTTCTTATCTTGTGAAGGATTTGGCCAACATCTTCCATTCTCATCCTTTCCTCAGTTCTGGTAACTGTTCTTCTACATATAAAATGACCTTGACCTTTTTGTGAGTCCACATGTAAATGACCCTGGTCATGTTGCTTTCATGAGTATTTTAAAGAGTTCCTGAAGATGAGGTAACATTATTCACTGACACGTAATTGCTGAGCCATTCAAAGTTTCTTTTTCTGTTGGCAGCCTTATTCTACTTCCGGATTATTGAAAGAACTTCTATAAACATAAACATCTTAAAGTACTGAATATAAAAAGGTATGTACATTCTTTGCTATAGTTTCTTCTTCATTCTATTTTTATGTCTGTTTAATGTGCCCCCCTCCCTAAATATTTTATGGCAATAGGTTCAAGGTCTCTGCAGGCCATCTTTGGGTGACTGATTTTTTTTTCTTCTTCTTAACCCTTTTCTCAGCCACACAGCAGCAATAGTTCTCAGAAATACCTCATAAGAAAAGCAGCTGATAAGGGTCACTCAACCAGCAAAGGTCATTTAGAGTTCCATTTGCAATGAGCATGTTCATTCAGGGCTGAGAGTCACTCAGGCCTTGTGCAATCAAACTTTGCACTTTATCAAGTTAATAAATGAATTAATCATAACAGAACAGTGGAGGCAACAAAGATATGTATACATGCCAGTAAGGGTTCTGCTGACCCTAGAGAAAATGAGGTCCATGTCACTGGACATGCAAAGTCATCACAAAGAAAACTCACAATTGTGTTTCCAGTTTAATTGCTCATGGTTAAAAGGATAACAATGGAAACAAAGTTTTGTTTGCACAGAGCATGGAACTTTGTCCTGGGAACTTTTGTTCTCCTAATAATTCCCAGCAATGTGAACATTGAGTGCTGACTGACTGTGTGGAATTTTAAGAGAAAGAGCAAAGAAAGCCAGGGTAGATGTATTAAGAAGTGCTCCCAATGTCAGAGAGCGATAAAGATTTCCTCTTTGTAATATCAAGAGGGGAAAAGCTGTAAATGAATGTATGAGGAAATGCAGGAACTGTTACTGTTGTCAACGTTATTCAGCTATAAGCGTATCCATATTCATTCCTCCAGCAGCCCAGGAAAACAGTTTCTTACCCAGCTGCAAGGAAACACCATCCTGCAGAGGAAAAGGGTCTTTTGGAAAACCCCTATCACACAGGGGTGAAGTGTGCCGTCAGTGTGGGAAGGGGATGTTACTGATGAGCTGAATTTAACTTCGGTCCACGTAGCTATGCTAACAGTATCATCCAGACATGCAGCTCGTACTACAAAAATGCAGAGTTTGAACTGTACTTCAGAAGGGAAAAGTCAGCAGGTAACTAGTCAGAGATGTCCCAAGCTAAACCCATGGCTGCCTTTTCGCAGTTTCTTCTTCCAGGCTTGACCCCCTTACCTCTGGCACACCCTTTGGAGTGGCCATGTGAAGCTTCCCACTTTTTGAAAGCACTGTTGACTTCTGAGCATAGCGTATGTCCTCGACCAGCTTTCCTCATGTGTCTTTTAACCCTTCATGTGTGTGGCTTTTCCACTAGAAACTGCACACATTTCTGCCCTCCTAGTGACTCAATAAAGCACTCACTAACCACTATGACACAGCTTATGTCCTCCCTGCTGTTGCTAGAGAATCTTGGGTTGAGGGCTCCGTTTCCTATGTCCTGTGCACTCCACACCCCTTTCATTTTCAGAAAAGGGTTTCAAGGCAAATCTAGGGACAAGAGATTCAAAAAGAGAAGTGCAATAGAATCTTAGGACAGTCCACAAATAAGTTCATTTTTTTGTTAAAACAAGAGAAATATACGCAACAAAGAAACAAAGAAAAACAACAACGAAAAGAAGCCTGGCAACAGTGACTTCAGATGCTTGCTGAGGGTTAAATGCTGTATATGAGAACTTACCTTGTCTAGGCCAAGCCTGGCACACAGCAAGAAATTAGAAAACGGTGTTTCCCCCTCCT